AGGGGGGGCGGCTGAGGGCCTCTTCCCCAGCCCCGCTCCATGCACCAAGGTTTTCCCCCAAAACGCTTTCAGCAAAAACGCCGCTGGCCCCATCTGATGCTGTTTTACCAAAAAGAAAAAAAAATAATATAGCGCTCCTCTTGCTCAGGCTTGGTGAAATCACGGGGAGCGTGGCTGGGGGTGGGGGGCACGTCTGGAACGCACCCACTGGGACAGAAAGGCCCTCGGACCGGTGGTTTCTCTCCCCCCTCTTCTTTCGCATCGCTCCAACCCGCAATACCCACGCGTGCCGTCACCTCGCTTATTTTCAGCCTGCGGAGGCGGAACGAAATCGGGGCGCTCGGGGGTTTTTATTTGCAAAACCTCCCCTGGGCGGTTACTGCCCAGAAACGTCTCAGCCTTCGTGTCAGGACTTAAATATTTCCCGACCGAAACCCAGCGCCAACCCCGCTACGTACACGCGGTTACGTACAGCCTGACCAGGCGGCCTCCCCGGGAGCCGACCTACCTGTTCGGCCCCGATGCTGACTCAGCCAGCGACAAGCGTGGTCGCTGCTTTCTTAGGCACGCTGGTTCCCGGAGGGGCAACCTGCCCCAGCCACCCCCCGCGGGAGGCAGATCTCCAGGGCAGGGCTGCCTCGGGGCCGCTTGCCCCCGCCGGGTGGGAGAGCACCCAGCTCCACGGGGGATGCTGGTGTGGTCCTGGGGGTGAGGTTGCTGGGGCTTTGCTGGGAGAGGTTGTATTCGGATCCCATCGACCCCTCTCTGTGTTGGGAATTGTGAGGCCCCGGGAGGAAGGAAAAAAAAATAAAATAAAATAAAAATCGTAGGTGTTCTGGAGCGAGGGGGTTTACTTGTGTGGAAGCTGTTGATGGCAAAGCTGGCCTGCCCAGCTGGTCAGAGCTGAACTTTCTGTTCATAGCGGAGCCAATTTCCTTATGGCTGTGCGTGTCCGTGGCGATGCACATCTTCCCTAAGCGTTCACACCCCCTCCCTGTGCTGGTCTCTCCAGCAAATTAAACCTTCGGCGCTTTACATGCCCTTGATTTCATCCAAACCAGCCCCAAGGTGTTGCCATCTTGGGAAGAGAAGCTTTTCCCGTCCGGCCGTTCAGACCAAGTTTCTGTGAGCCCTGGTACCTGAAGAGCTCTCTGTGCCCATGACCCACCTGGTTGAGAGGCTGACGCTGGCACAGCCGTGCCTGTGCCTCACTGCCCCGAGATTTTGCTGACCAGGGAGCAATCTTGTGGGTTTTTTGGGCAAATGCAGCTCTCCTGCTTTACGGACCCTCCGAAGCTGAGACCACCCCACAGGTGAAGAACCAGCTGTGGTGCTCACCAACGGGGAGATGGATGGGGGGGAGAAGGATGGGGAGGGGAAAGAACTGGTTTTGGGAGAGGGACTGAGTGCGAGCCATCCCTCGGTGGGGCTCCAGGGTTGGTGCCTCTTTTCCTCCCAGGGAAGAATCCAAGCCTTGGTTACATGCCACGGCTCCCGCCCAGCTCCAACACACGTACACAGAGCCAGAAACTGTAGGAAAACTATTTTTTTTTTTTTTTACTTCTCTCCCACCCCAACCCGCGCCTCCCTCCCCATGGCACAGACCGTGGCAGTCGGGAGCCTTCGCCGCGGGAAGGTTTAGTTCCACACCGAGATATCGAGAAACAATTGCTACGGAGGAAAGCAAGACTTAAAGCAGGGAAACGCTCTCCGGCGTGTCCCAGTCACAACGTGTTGTACAGCAGACCCACGCACACTACACAGGGCACAGCCACAGGCACAGGGGAGCGTATGTACAGGTGGGCAGTGTGGTGCGGTGAGGCTGGGGGGGACATGACCCCCCCGGATTGCTACAGCCCCGGCTGGGCAGGGAAGGGCTCCTGTGTTTAGTAGAGACTAAAGCTCACCTTCCCTCGCCCTGCAGAAGTCGCCTGTCAGTGTGGGAGCAGCCTCCGTGATCCCTCCCGGCTTCTGCACGGTGCCACCAGCCCCACGGCACGCGGGGAGGGCGAGGGGGAGCCCAGGGATGCCCGGGGGGCTGTGTCCGACTCGCTCCTGCCTGCATGGGCAGGGGCTGCAGTGTCTCTATAGTGTCAGTATAACAAATGCCTTTGCCGGAATGTCCAGTATATACACATATGTACAATCACCCACCCCATCCCTCCTCCTGGCCGCGCAGCGTGGGGCGGGATGGCTGGGGCGCCCAGGCTTTGCCTCCCTCCTCTCCTTCTGGTCAGGATACGGCTCGAGGCAGGTTCCCCCAAATCTCAGCTGGAGCCTGGCTGTCCTCCTGCCCTGTTTTTTTGCAGTCTGGGTCCTGGAGCAAGCAGGGAGCGGGCTGAAGTCCGTCACGAGACGCAGGTGCGAGGCTGGCAGGGAAGAGCAGAGGTGCCCCAGGGTCAGGAAGCAGCAGCTCTCGTTTCAGATCTTCAGAACTGGAAGGCTGGGTTGGGGTCTGCTGTGCCCTTTGCTGACGATTCCCCCTTTGAGCAGCCCTGGGCAGGGCACGCGGCCGGTGCAGCCCCGGCCGAGGGGATGGAGACTCTCCCTGAGCGGTTTGAAATCAGCTCGTTCACAGCAAGGGCTGCAAAAACCCCGAGAGATGTGAGAGTCGAGCCCTGCACTAAAGCAGCGGCACAGATCCGGAGCCTGGGAGCTCTCGTTGCAGGGGATGGAGCTGGCTGGGGATTGTGGGCGGCACGCCGGCCCGTGAGGCCGCCAGGAAGGGACCTCTCCGTCGGGACAGAGAGTCAGGAAGCCCTCCAGAGACATGACAGTGCGGTTCGTTAGGAGATCATTATCTTAAAGAAGTCCAAGGCAGCTTTGGTGCTGATATCAGGAGCTGTAGAGATGCAACAGGAAGGCTCCAGGTCCAAACCCAGCCTCTCCCTGCCCATCAGAGTGGGGTTTGGCTATCGAGCACCGGGGGAGCACTGGCCATCACAGCGCCAGGAGCCAGGCTTGGTCCGAGGTGGGCACGGTGGGAAGCGTGCCCGGTGCCCCGCTGCAGCACCAGGCTTTGTGCCCCCGGCCCCCGAGGGCTGAGGACGCGGGGGCAGCAAGGATGCCTCCATGCAGGTCAATCCTGCGGGGGCTCGGGGGAGCTGCGGGGCCACCCCTCGGCTTTGCTGGGGCAACTCCTCTGCGTGGGGGGAAGGCTGTGGTGGGGAGGAGAAGGGGAGTTGGTTTCTCATGGGTTTTGGGGGGGCACACAGGCGTTAGGACTGGCGGTCTCTTACAAGAGTGACCCACTTCAAACAGCCCTGGCGCCAGCCCCAGCCAAGGCAGCGCCGTCACGGATGCGGCCCCGCAGCAAAGCGCCCAGCCCCAGCCCTGCTCTGAGGAGCACGGGGCCAGATCCGTGCCCCTGGAGTAGAAGGGAGCTCTATGGGCCACACAGGTCTCTGCTTCCCATTGCCTCCCATTTGTGATAAATCTGTTCCTGCTGCTCCTGCCGGGCATGTGGGAGCTGTAATTAATCTCGCCTGCCCAGGGACAGTCTGCGTGTGAAGTTGCAGAGGAGCCACTCCAGCACTTGCAGGATCAGCCTATTCACTCTGCAATAACCGGGAGAGATTTCTCATTACGCCGCCAGCAGCCCTGCGAGGCTTTTCAGAACAGATCCAATATGAGGTCAAGTTCCCACTAAAATCAAGTGGCTGGGAAGGAAAACTTTGTTACTCGCAGCAGCGACGGTGCTGCTGTTTATTACTCATCAATGAACCAGCAGAAGGTTTTATTTC